CAGGCCCCCGGGCCTCCGCCGCGGGCTCCTCGGGAAGGGGCTGCTCTCCTGCGCTGGCTCCGTCTCGCCTCGGGCCGAGCCGGTTTTCCCGGTGCTGCTGCGGCCGCGGGGCTGTAGGAAACGACTGAACTCCGAGCGTCGGGGGGCGGGTGGTAGAATGCGACGGGCCCAGAGCGGGCAGTAGCCCGCCCCTTCAGCAGCGGGTTCCCGGCAAAACGCAGGTTCGTCCTCACCCCGCGAAGGTGATTTTGCCAAAACTAAGGCGTGGAGGAAGCAGCGAACCACGGTTGTTCGTCGCACTGAGGAGCGTGGCCTGGAGCTTTCCTAGAGAGCGGGTAGTCTGCGGCGCGTCCGGCTGCCGAGGGCCCGGGCCGGGAGGAGGAGCAGAGCCCGAGCTGACTTCCAGGCAGGGGCATGGCTGGCTGTAGCTCTTCTAGCTCAGTGTCGGCTGCATGGCACAGGGACTAGCCTCAGCGTTGCTTCTGTCTTTTCAGCGCTTTCCCAAAATCAAAACTAAAAAGGGAAGCTGAAGGTCAACTGAACAAAAATTCCAGATTCGAGGAGCCCCACGCTGGTCCAGCTACTTGTCCCCTTACTAAAGGGACGCATCTTCCCCTACCACGGCTCTAATACGATGGCTGGTTTTCTCTCCACTTTCTTTGCTTTCCCGTGCCCCTCAGTAGGTAAATTGTGCTGCATCCATTTCGTCCTGAACACTCTTAGGTGTGGTTTGCAGTGTTGGCACAGGGTGCCTGTATTGATCTGCACCTCGGGACTTTCCCTGGGCCCTCTTTCTCGTGAGCACTGTGGCTCCCTGAGCTTTGGCACCTGTAACACGTACGCAGCTTCTGCATCACATTGCTCTGAGCATTGCAGCGGGCAGCCTTGTCTTGTCCATGCAGCTACTGGTAGCGGTGGGTCTGGGCAGGAGAGAGCCAAAGCTCAGCATGGGGCAGGAGTTCTCCTTAGGTACCCTAAGGTACCTTTTACGTTATTGTCTGTTGGGGAAGATTGGCATCCTGAAGAGAGGAGACAGAGGGCTTGGGAGCACATAGAGCAACAAACTGTGCCCTAACAATCTGTTTGCCATACTTTTGAGTGTTCACGTGTCTAAGTGTGATGGTCCTAGGGTTTATTGAAGAAGTTGTCAGTTTGCAGGTCTCTCTTCTCAAAAATGTAACGCAGTTGGGTAAATTTGGAGCTAACTGATGATACTGTTTGGAAGAAACACGTTGTTCATAGAAATATGAACTTAATGAATGAATTCTACAAAGGCTATGAACAGGCCAGTTACTTGTAGTTTTCTGTTTGTTTCCTAGAGAAAAAACACAAAACGAGTTCCAAGCTTTCGCAAGTTACTGAGAACTAGTAAAATAAAACTTGACAACAAATTAAAAAATAAACAGTACAAGCAGCAGAGTGCTGCTAAGAAGTATCGAAAAGAACAAAAGAAGCTAAGGGAGGCTGTCAGAGATGCTATCTCTAGAAAACCTTTCCCATTGGAAGAATGCAAGAAAAGGCAAGTTGGTAAGTGTTTGCTCACTTATTTTTGTAAGCAAAAAGGTATGAAGGTTACTAAATATCCTGCTCCTTCATATTGTAAAATTACATATCAAGAAAACAACATTTCATTTTCTGTGTACAAATAATTGCTGTTCTTGTTTAAAGGAAAGAAAGGGAGAGTTACGAAAAATATGTGGCAGCAATATCTGACAGTTGGAGATGGTAAAAATGTGTTTGCTGTGATCATTTTTGGATGTCACAATAAAGGAACACTTTTCTGGGATAACACAAAACACATTCGTGAAGGTTAATGAGCTTCAGGTTAAAGAAATATGTAAAATGGTCTCACAAGTGTAGGCAGGGTTATGTTTTTAAGTTTGGATATATGTACAGGATCTTAATCTATATACATCATCTTCTAAAATAGCTGAAAAACGGGAGGAAGAAGAGGAAGAAGATGCTCTTCCACTGGATATGATGGATGAAGATGACTTAAAATTAATGGAGGATTTGGCTCAAAAAGCATCCTTTTTAACCAGAGATCTTTCTTCTGAGTGAGTGGTGTTGTGATGTCTATTTTTTGTATTAATTCAGCTTTGTGTGATTAATATGTAATTAATATGTAATGTAATATATGTATCAGGAGGTCACTTTCAGTGTGGTGTTTCTTCACAGTTTCAGTGTAGTGTTTCCTTAGTCTGTCAGTACATTTGCTATTAATGTTTTGATGTGTATCAGTACATTCACCTGCTCTGCCTGACCTTCAGGATTCTGTTTCTGCACAGTGTTCCTTACCGTGAGGTCCCCGGCTGTGAGATGAGTAGCATTCCTTAAATTTAAAGAAATGCATTAATCTGTGTACAGAGTCTTTTTTTCAATATGGTTCAATATGGAGTATTCAGGACGTTCCCTGGACTTTGGGCCACTATACTTTCCACATTGCATTGCACTGTTGCTGGAAAAAAAAAAAAAAAGTTCTGGAAGCCATGTCTGTAAATACATGCAACATCAAAATATTAATACAAAAAATCTGCTACCAAGTTTCTGGAGCAAGTTATTAGGTAGAGTTCACAGTGAAGAAATACATGGAAGGGTGATGCTCCTAGTTGTAGAATTGTAAGTCTTTACAAATACACTTCTACAGAGTAGTCTGGTTACATGATAGTTTGAAAATCTTGACTTGCCATTTTTGATGAATGTGAAAAGACTGTATGCCTAGCTGCTGTAAGGTGATTTTAATTTTCCCTGTGAACTTTAGTTTTCTTTAGTTCTGGAGTGGTTTTCTCAGACTAAATGTTGAAATGAGCAAAACCTATTTTTTATTGTTTTCAGGAAGAAAGAATATGTCTTCTATCATTTTTTTTTCTAAATTCAATACAAATTAATTTATTAATGCTGATTATAGTTACTAATCAATAATTTAGTTTAGTTTCTAAGGAAAGTAGTAAATGCCTTTTTATTTCCAGAGTTGCAGTTGTGCTGTACTCTGCTGTATGGTCTCTTGTAGCCACATTGCAAGTTCTTGAATTAAAAGAATTCTACTTCAAACCTTCCCCTCCCCCCAGACTAACTGAGCATCAAATAAGTTTATAAAGTCTTGTAAAACTCAAAATTTATCGTGTGTTTTTATTTAGTGACATTTTGCAAGATGCAGTTCTATGTGTCTTGCATTCATTATAAGGCATTTTTAGAATGATGGAAAACCACAATGGAAGTAGTTGATCTTTTACCTGTTTGACTGTTACTAGGTTTCATACCATTCTGTTAAAACTGGAAAATTTGTCTTTTTAACCTGCTTTACTCCAGTCAACTATATTAATTATTAAGAACTTGTCCAATATTACCTCACTTATAAATTACGTGTTCATGTCAGACTAAATACTTTGTTCTTATATACATCTGTGCAGGTTAGGAGCACACCCTGCGAAAGGGTGGTACACCACACTGCATTGTTTCTGTTATCCTTGGAGAGTGGGGTGGGACACAGGCTTGCTTTCCCACGGAGCAGATTAGAAAAGGAATGGTAATAGTGGTAAAAGTTAACACAGAACAGGGATAAACAAAAATGTGATCACTCATCATATCCCAGTTAAGTGTCACAAGGGAGGTCAAGGCACAGTAGGGGAGAGTGAGGCTGTGGGACATGTTAAGGAAGACATTGGAATGTTTGTCCAGTGAGAGGGTCCTAGTCCTGCTTGCTTGCTGGTGGAATCCATGGCAGGACTGCTTGGGGTAAGTTTTTAGTGAGCTTCAGCTGAGCCAGAGCACCTGCTCATGCCGTGGGGGAGCACAGTGGGGAGGGAGGCAGGTAAAACAGCGCTCTGGTCTAGGTGAGAGACAGGCTGTACTGAGCTCTTAATAGGTGCTGGTTTGTGTCTTTGTATTTGATGTATTCTTTTCCAAAATCTTTAATATTTCAGGGCTGAAATCATGTTTACAAAGGATGTTTGGCTTTACAAGCTTCATCTGATTTGTTCACTGTTGCTTTATTTTGAAGAGTCCCTAAGTCCCTTACTGCTACATGAATGGGAGCAGTGCCATCTCAAAACCCATCAGCTAGGACTAGGGTTTCTAGATGTCTGGTATGACCCAGAATTTCCCCTGTTTTCACAGCAGCTGTATTTTATTCATGCTCAACAGATCAATCACAGAGATGTAGAATGCCTGTGCTTGTTGAGTGCAGTTTGGGTACACGGGAAAGGTTTGACCTGCACAGGGACCGCAAGGCTGAGGCTGGTGCACTGTCCTTAAAATGTATGCGTAGGGTAGCCGTGTCATGTGTGCAGGGAATCTGCATAGATGCCAGGATGTAAAAATACTTCTGATACAATGATTCTTACTTTCTGAACTCTAGCAGTCTCTGAGCCCAGAGCTTTCAAAGTCCTTCAGATGTCCATAGTTGAAACTCTGTTCCTTACAAGAACAAAAGCAGTGTTCCTGTTATAAGACAGACCATGTGGCTTCGATAATGTGATTCTTCATCCATTGCTTTTAGTTTTTTAATAAGATAAATGGATAGCACACTTCATAGTGTGCTAGTACTATAAGCTGTTACACCATTTAATTATTTTTTTTGTAAATTCAAAACCAATGCAAGCGTTTTGCATGCGTGTTTCCACTCAAATAATAATACAGTATACT